CAACATCTGTGTAGAGAAGCGGCCGTTAACCAAAGTACTCATTTCCTTGCATGCTCTGGGATTAAGCGATGACGCAATTCAACAGATGCACCAGCCAATTCTGCAAGAAGTCCAAGAGAAAAAGATAAGGACATTCCAGTGGTAATTATAAAGAAAGCAGAGTGTTGTTGCCAAACCTTGAGCTGTGAAATCAAACAACGGAGGAAGTGCTCTTCCATTAGGCAAGGATGCACTCGGGTCTCTCAAATCATCGAAGAACGGGTGTGCACATGCTTCAAGCTGGAACCAAAGTTAAGTAAAGACGTTAAAACAGCCATTTTAATGATGTCATGCTCCAACATAGGTCAGAGATCAACTCAAGGTTGTTCTCTCTTACCGCTGAGCATCTCAGGTTTGGTGAATACTGAAGGAGCCTAGAGGCAAGATCCATTGCTTCTGGAGATACCTGTCTCCGGAAAATCTGAAGAAAAAAGATTTTGAGTAGCAGATTTCGTTTATAAGCAAAACATTTTCATTCTCTGTGTATGTTACCTTGTGCCATGGCTGAGCTTTGATCTGAGGGAACTTAAAATCGTTGTAACGAGGATTCATGTTCTTTATCTCTTCTCTTGCTGGTGTCCCCAAAATCTAATTTACACAGAAATTTTTCAGAACACAAACTCTGAGAATCTCTAACAGCAAAAAAGAAAAGAACCAACTCTGTTTTTTACCTTAATGATCTCTACCAATTGATCAACACTTGTTTCTCCAGGGAATAGAGGCTATTAGAAAACAAAAGCAAGAAAGATGTTCAAACAAAATGTCTCAAATCAAAAGTTATAAACCTCAAAGAGCAAAAGTTTTCTTACATGTCCAAGAAAAAGCTCAGCCATTACACAACCTACTGACCACATATCGATCGCGTTTGTGTACTCAGTTGCTCCAAATATGAGTTCTGGAGCTCTGTAATACCTTGAGCATATGTAAGATATATTTGGTTCTCCTGGAATCTGAAACCAAAGAAGACATCACTATTCATATTTTCTATAGATAACAGGCCTCAAAACTCATTTAAAGATATAGAACCCACCAGCATTTTCGCGCTCCCAAAATCGCATATCTTAACCTCATGCGTAACATTATTGACCTGCGAAAATGAATCGACATTTCCCGAGTTAATTAGTCACAAAAATACTACTAACCCTCACAAGAACTCCTTTTCAAAATGCTTCTTACCAATAGATTTTGCGGTTTAATATCACGATGACACACTCCAACAGCTCGATGCAGATAATTCATTGCGCGGCAAATCTGGTTTTTACAAGAAAAATTTCTCAAAAATGAGAATAGAATTCACAAATAGTTCAACAAGATCCCAAGTTTTTAAAAAAAATTACCTGATAGGTATAGAGCTGAACATAAATCAAAGGCATATGATGATTCATCTTAGTGTAAGATCTCGAAGCACGATATATAGTCTCGGGTACATACTCAAGAACAAGGTTAAGATAAAGCTCGTCTTTCTCAGTCGTCGAGAAGAAAGAGTGCTTGAGCTCAACAACATTAGGATGATCAAGCATTCGCATAATCTGGAGTTCTCTGTTTTTGTATCTTTTGTCTTGCAACACTTTCTTGATCGCTACTTTTTCTTCCGTCTCTAAGCACTTCGCCTACAATCGAAAAACCGCAATGTAACAAAATCAAAATCACATTTTTAAAACAACTGAGAATGTTTTTGTTTTCTTTACCTGAAAGACAACACCGAACGAGCCAGTGCCGATTACATGTTCAGCTCTGTACGAGATTGTCTGAATAAAGAACAAGAAAAATCAGATTTCTTTCATGAACGATTACAGAGAAAACTAAGATGTTTAGAATTTTGAAATGAACCTTGTCTCTTTGATCATTTAAACCCTTCTTCTTCGTGGTAATAATGCGACCAGATTCTGTTCCATTTCCCTTGATAATCCCACCGTCCAAATCCTATCAATTCCACTATCATCATCAGCTCCAAGACCAAACAAACACCCAATAATCAAAAGTTTAAACCTTTTCGTCTCCGATTCCCATGTCGCGGATTTCTTTTGGTAATTGATGAACAGAATTCTCTGTCGTCGAGACAGATTCTTCTAAAACAGAATCTCTCTCGTTTGTTTCCGTGATTTCACTTTCTTCACGAATCTGATTAGGCTTTGATCTAGGCGTGTCGGAATCTCCTACCTACGAAAAAAGCTTCAAGCTTTT